CTGTACTACTCGTTCATTCTTTTCGGAGGTAAATTGGTACTGGCGTACGCTTGGGATCAAACTAGCCATCAACTTGTTTTTATGCAAAAGTAATCGATAGCCTTGCCAGTGAATGGTTGATGTTGACATTTGCTATCACTTGGGCTAATCCTAAGTGCCTCCGCTTGTGACTGAGAGGGAATACCTAGGGGATTTTGGCGTAATGATAGGCTGAACGACTAAATGGTAAATAAGAAAATTTTTTTCACTGTTTTCTTTATGAAATTATACTCGCACAAAAAATTTCTAGGTGCGAAGCGCACGACTGTCTCTTTTTTTTAATTTTTTTTTCAATCTCATCAGCTTATAGTTTATTTCAATTATGTATTTCAGTCTATAAGACATTATTTCTGTCAAAAATATACAAACAGAAGATATCCTGCAAAGAAACTGAAAAATTTTGTCGATAATGCATAATCGTATGCTAAAGGACAAAGACGCATTGCATGTATAGTATATTTCTGCTGCTTGCGAACTTGGAGTACGAAAAGTCCAGAAGTTGTCACAGCGCTATTTACTTTTAAAATACTACTTCATATGCACCGATCTGCCTTTTCGGCTCAATTTAAAATTTGACTGGGAAAGAGTTTTTTACTCTTTTGTTTGGTGCGGCTAAAAACGCGCCATGGAAAATTTTTTTGTTAATTTCATGCGGTTAGGATTTTCTTACGCACGATAAGCTTCTATTGCTTTTAATCAGTTCTGCAATAATTTATAGCAAACCCATATCTGTATGCACATTTTTATTGGTTTTTGTTTATCCTGATGTCTCGCCAAAAGAACAAAAAAGGAGGCTGAAATCCTGAGAAAAGTGCATGGTTAAGGGGATAAATTAGGCTTTTTCTCTAATTTAAAGCCTCACATCCCAGCTCAGGCTGATATTAGAGCGAGAATGGAGATAGCCGGATAGTTGAAATTTTTCTTTAAAAAACGAAGTAGAACGAAGAACTTCAAATCTAACTCTGTAACTTCTCGGTGACCTAATATTGGAGGTGATTCAGCTCAGAAGAAATAAAACAAAGTTCGGAAACTGAGATTTCTAAACGATACAAAAGATTAGCCTAAAATTAGTTTTCAGACTTAGTTCCCCAGAAACTCAAATCCTAGTAATTTTGTAGCTCTAGTACTTTGTGAGCTACAAGCTCAGATTTTTGAGATTTTATTTCACGTTTAAAGCGATAAGATGCCTGGCAAACAAAACAATCTTTTCAATAATCTCACCGCATCCTAAACCAGGCTTGTGTAAAGTGGAAGCATGTGGTTTACAAATGCAGGACAGGCCATACGATCATCGTGAGGAATTATCGCTATTTTCTATTTGTTTCGACCTATTCAGTCATCGTGGGTTCGCAAAAATTTAACGCAAAGCTAGATTCTTCAAATTTCTTGAACAGACAATATTTCAATAGGTTTTTCTATAATTTCCCATATTGTGGTATTCTGTCGATCTAATGCAATCGAGAATAAACAATAGTTATATGAAAACTGAAATAGTGGTGTGAACAAGAGACTAGCATGATTATGCGCTTTAGCTAAAAAATGCTATGGCAACTGAAAGCTGCAAGATCCAGAAACCGAAAGTTAAAAGATCAGCTTAAATCTGGATTGGGATTGTAGGTCGGGTAAGTACTGAAAACTAGATCTACGCTTTTGCCTTGAACTATCGGGCGTTTTACTTCGGTACAAATTAAGCTGGTGGTTTTTTTCTGGAGCTAAGGTCATAGAACATGGGATTTCAAAGCTCGGGAGTTCATTTCGGAGCATTTGATTCAAATTACTCACTGAACTTGTGCCAGAATTTATGGACTGCAGGTTTTCTGGATGGTGAACCATACAATCAGTCTGAACATGGTTTAGAGGTCATAAGTTAGGCCACTATAGGAACTAAAATTGTTTTCATTTACTTTAGGTTGAACTTCTAAGATTTCTACCTTTTAGCTTTTTTAGGATCTAAACTGAGGCTACTGGTCAGGACAGAGAAAGAGATGTGAATTAGTTCCAGTCTGTGAATTCGCACAAGAGCACTCAATATGCTTCCGGCTTCCTAGCTTTTTCCAAATTTCAGCTATGGGCACATTAGCTTCATCATTTATGAATTCACTTCATCACGATATTTTTTTTTTTTTCTTGTCATGCTCATACAAAACGTAAACTGCTCACTTCTTGTTATAGATCGAGTTTCAGTCTGTTCTGTAATTTTAGAAAGTGGGGGCAGGAAATCGAAGTTCTGCCATTGCAATTATTTGTGTAAGGTAGGTTTAACAGATGAAATTAGGTTTCAAATCCTGCTCTTTCCCGAATTATGATCACGCGGGCTGTGACTGGAACTTTAAAATGGAGTAAGCCATTGATTTGAGGTTTTGATGCGCTTCGTGAATTTCATCATTAAACGGCCACCTTGAAGAACTTCTGAATTTGTCAGCTCATTTGCTAGCAGAGCACCTGCAACAGCTTATTGTGAAAGCATTTAAAAGTGTCGGCCATCTGGCTGCATTGCTATTGCCATTAAAATCTTCATCCTTCATTTTTCCTGCTATGTCATATATTTGTTTTAAAAACTGTTGTGGAAGTGCTATTTTTTTTAAAACAGCTGTTAGGACCAGTGATCCGGAACCGATCCTCTTTCGATGTTATTCGGGGCCACTAGCGCGTTGCCTGTTCGCTTTCGACCTATAGAAGGACTCGCGTCGGTCCAGTGTTTTGAACAGTCACTTATTATTCAAATCAAGCGAAAAGAACGGTTTTTTTCAGCGTGGCATTTGCAGAAGTGGGAGAGCGAAGTTGTGCGTGGTCTTTGTTGGCTCTAGCCTCTAGGAATACCTATAAGGAAGCAACATCGAGCTGAGGCAAGAGAACTGGAAAGTAGTTCGCTACGAGAGTTTCACTTGTTTGTTTTGCTGTGCGGAAATGAGGGGATTGGGCAGTATAAGGATCAGACCCAGGATAGCACTGCTACAGTTATTCCTAGAACTGTTATTATTGCTAAGTCCTGTTGCTGCTGGAAGAGGATGGAATGAATGGACCATCGACCCTTGTAAGTTCCTTTGGATCATTTCTTGAAAAAGAAAAAAAACTAAACTGCATACTGATATTTTTATGACGCATTGGCCTTTTTTTAAGACATTTCCTGAGATGGCGGGCGGCCTTAATAAATAGCGCAGAAGATCTGAGATTTTACAGAACTACCACCATCTAGATCAATCTTTGCTAAAAATATCGTGTCTAAAATGAGTAGAATGTTTTGCTAATATTTCCTGTAGCTATAAATGTCTAGTGTCGTTGCTGAAAAAGAAAAACTGACATGGATAAAGCAGCCATCTATCATCTTCCCGGTGTTTATGGCTTCAATCCAGTGAATCATTTAACTTACTTTTTGTCGTACAATCACCACATTCCTTAATCAGAATCGTTTGTTTAGTGAATTAAAAAGCATGCTTATTTTGATAAAGCTTGCCTATTGTGGCTGAATCGAGAAAATCTATGCTGCCCTGCTGAAGCATTTTTTAAAGTAGGGTAGGCTAATAATTCTATTTATAAGTTCACTGCCGTGGACGAGGCCCATTTTCTAGAACTGCTACGTACCGGAAGAGATCGAACCACCCCTATCCACACCCAAACTCGACGTGTTGCCCATTATACTACCCGCCTTTTGCTTCAGGGCCAGCTCGGTAGCACATTTACTCGATTCTGCTTTTTAAGGCAGAATACACTTTCTCTGCTCCATATGGAGTTTTTATCCTGTTCTTTATGGCGGCTTTTTCTTGGCCATTTTTTCGCGGGTTTTCAGGCGTCCATGTTCTCAGTTTTCAGCATAGTCCGGGCTCCTACCCATTTCGCTTGCTTGGACGTCAGTGATCCATGTATTTTTTAATGAATTCTGGAACAATTAAGCCTCCCTCAAAGCAAGCGTATGCATTTGCTAAGCACGGTAGTGGGATGAGCGAAGTACTTCAATTTTAGACTTGCTGCTTTAGAATTGGCTACAGTAGTACTTTTGTTTCGCGATTTTTGCACCTGTCTTGCCTAGCTGCAGTATTTTTTGACTTTTCTGGTCAATTTTTCGTTTTCTGGTCCCATCTTCAAGCTTTTTATTATGAATATGGCTAATTTAAATGTTCTTTTACTAAATTTGCGCTGCTTTAGTCGATTTTTTTCCTTTAGTTAAATTTCACGTCTCTTGCGAACTTCTTGATTCTTTTTCCGAAAAGACAACTTCCGCGGCTTTCAAGATGAATTGGGGCGGAGATGATAAATTACAATGTTTCCTTGTCTCTTTTCCGCTCTTAGGAAACCAATAATCTTCGTAAATGTCTCAGCACAACTAACAACAAATCTGTGCCGTTTCAGATCAGCACATCGATGGCAGCGATCTGCAATGTTAGTTCTCGGTAGCTCTGCTTATTCTTCAAATTTAAGTTGATTTCGGCTACTACAACGAAAATTAGATTAAAAAATTGCTCGCTTCGCCTCGTTGCTTAGTTTTTTTTTGCCTCGTTGAATCCCAATGTACGGTATGGATATCAGTGTCCAGCAATGTACAAAATATCTATATGGCTAAATGTATACGTTCCGACTGGTGCGCAAAACAAACACTGCTATCATACTCTGATTTTTGGGTTTTCAGAAAAGATATTTCTCAATACTTCTCAGTCAATCTCGGCAATACTTAAAGTAGGCGTATTTGGCAGATCGAATTCACAAAACTTAAGAATTTTATTTCTGCAGCAATTTGAAAACTCACCACTCCCACACAACGAGAAGGATGAATATGGGCACAGAGCAATGAGGATGAAGAAGCGCTGTTGTCTGGCAGTGAAAAGCCTGCAATTTTGTACGAGGAAAGCCAGCTGAGCTTCACCGGTTACACAAGCATTTAACAATCAAAGTTAAAGAGAAATCGAAAGATGTAGATTACAAATAAGAGTGAAGTGAAATCAAATATTGCCGAGCACTACTGTCGAATGAATGCGAACGGTCCTGAACTATTCCAAAGCTTTTTCTTCCTCGAATCTGTGTTACTTTATTAGATATTCATAACTTGCATAATTTATAATTTCAGTTTGTAAGGATTCTATTTGAGCTCACAGTAAGCGGTCTGGCAAGGTAGTCACTCTAAGTTTCAGCAGTACAAATAACCATTTATCCAACGGAAGAGAACATACGCGAAGGCCGTGAAGGTACATTTGACTGTCGCGCACGAGCTCACGATGGCACAACTTATCCGGAAGTGCGGTGGACTCGTCAAGGTGCACCACTTCCGGCTTCGGCTTATGAAACCGATGGGCGACTCACGTTCACGTCGGCATCACCGTATGATAGTGGAACATACGTTTGCTCGACGACTTACGGTGGACGAAATTACGAAGCTTATGCACAGCTCAATGTGCTGCCTTGTAAGTTCTACCCGGGCAGTTCCCTTTTCCCGAATTAGTCTGAGTCCATGAACAAATAAAAAAGTGAACTTACCGAAAGTTGCACAGCTGTCTGGAGTATTAGGCGTTCGCAAATGTCGCTGATATTAGAGACTTGTTCAATATCGGTTTCCCGAATTCCTCGCCTCTCCTGCCTCTCCAATCTCTTTATTAGAATTTGCAGGCCTTTATTAGTAGCGATGCCGACTTGGGCAGCACTAAACTGGCTTAGCTTGCGCATTTTCTCAAGCATTCATGTCTTATTTGTTCACCTCGTCGCAATGCGGCATTTACAAGGCCATTGTGGCATAGTAATTTTTATCACTGCCATTTTGCATCAGACTGCATACACCATAAATAGTGCCTGTTCCGAACGAACGTTTTGGACATAATATGACCTTGGTAAGTGCTCTTTGTAAAGACGCCTCTCTTCCATCACCCTCACCGCAGGAAATTATAATTAGATGTCTCCATATTCATATAGCGAATTCACAAAATTAATCAATGAATATTGCCTGAAAAAAAATAACACTATTAAATAATGCGTTAAGTAGATTATCTGTGACTGCCAGCTTGTTTGCGTGCGTTCACCTCTTCTTAATTCTGCAGTGATGCATTTGTTGTGTTTTGTTCTTTAAATCGCTGGAACTATGGTTTGTCTGGAGTTTCAAGGATCCACCTCAATCACCTATTTGCGATGTTCTCTTGTGCTTTTAATGCGTTTCTGCTGTGCAGCGCTGTGACGCTACTACAGTGAGCAAAAACACATATTGTCGAGACGCTGTCCGCGTATGCATGTGACGGAAGCGAGTAAACTTTGTCACCCAATTTCAACTCAGCAAGCAGGAAGCTGAGAGGCTGAGATTTTGGGGGCATATTCCCGCCCATTGTTCCACTTTTCAGTTTTAAAATAATCGATCATACGTGTCTAGATCTCACTTAGGGATCCCCGAAAAAAGTATGCCATTTTTTTAGCGGAGAACGATTTCAGGAACCAGACAAGATAGAAAGCTGAAATTTTTCAAAAGTATTCCTTGCGTATTTATGAGCTGAAGATTTCAGATTCATTTATTGCGCACGCTTGTGTCGCATATACGATCATGTCAAAGTTCGCAGTTGGCAATGCGCCAATTTGGAAATTGCAAGAAAACAGTGGCTAAAAAATATTTGTCGCTCATAAGGAAAACCGTATACCTAAACTGAGTTTTGATTTGCGCTTGCGCCGCAACTTAGGGCACTTCAGAGATATTTGTAGCGAATTGGCTATTTCGCTTACTGGACAAGCTGCGAAGCTGAAACTTTCCAGGGACATCCTGGATTCACATGTAGTCTTAAAACAGTTTAGTTGAAATTCTCTGAAATGACTTTAAAACAGTTTTCAATTTTAGCGCAAACTCAAAAGCGAGTGTATTCTGCGGATTTCTTAATTCTCTTTGTATTTCCTTAAAACATGCAATTTTTCGAGAAATTAACAATCATGCAAAATTGACGGTCTTGCATGGTGAAGACTCATTTGGCCTCGTAAAGCAACACTTTCATCCCAACCGGCGCCCTTTTCCTCTGCATGTAGGAAAAAACCAAGATGAAGTAAATATGAGCTTACGTATTAAACCACAACTCAGAACCATCCTTGCTACTAATGGTGTGCAAGTTTAACGTAGAAACGCATCAACAAGCTGGTGCGTTGCTGTCTGGGGTTAGAAGACACACGCACTTATAATTTTGAAACAACGCATTTCTAGTAATTGTTAACATTTTAACACGATTTAGAACTCTAAACTAATTTTAGTGCCATTTTGGTCAAAATATGCATTCCTTTAGCAGACTTTGCGCTGTCGTGGCTAATTTTCGTGCTTTTTGGCTGACATTTAATTTTCTTGACTAATTTTTCACATTTCTCTCCGACAGCAAACAGGTAAAGCACTGTTAGACTTTTTACTAAAAATTTTATCAGGATTATTTTTAAAATATATGCAACACATGTATTCTAGAAATAAGCAGGATCCGACCTTCCTCTTTTTCCATCCCAGTTGACTGTGCTTTTGTTCCAGCTTGAATTACACTTTTTGGTGGGATTTTGGTTTCTAGAAATCTAGTTCAGTATAATGCTTTTTGAAAAGGCCTACTGGACCCAGTATGCCGAAAAATATTTGTTCAGACAAAGCAAAATAAACAATCACTACAATGAAAAGCTATCTACAATCCCTAATACTCACGTAAAACCAAATAGAAAGCAAGAGTCTCGACAGCTGACGATGACGGTACAACACTGCCGCTACACTGCTGATCTAATGAAACATTGATGTCCCAATCGTTCGCTCTGTCCTATGTAGGCAGAGCATCTGGTGGATGTTTGTCCGCTCAGTTTCTTGCGCCGTTTCATTCACAGCGGACTTTTGACACTTTTTTGATGGAATTTTTCAAAACTTATGTGAAATGGTCACAAAAATTGTAACACGGAATGGTCAAATTTGAACTTTGTTCATCGCTGCAATGAGCTGAATTTTTACATATGCAGTAGTGCATGAAAGTTAAGTCTGCAACCTCTCGCAGCCAATTGAAAAAACAGTTGAGCAAAATTATTATTTATACGTAGGCACATAAAAATGAAGGGTTTCTTTGTGTCTGCTGAGATGTTAGTGCAGAGTCGGAGACTGGAGAAGCAAATGGCGGAAATAATTCGGTCCAACATGTTCTTGATTAATTTTACTATGTAACACTCCGGAAACGATTTAACCCATCGTTCCATTACTACTTTCTCACAAAAACGAAATAAATGGCCAACGCACGGGCTGCCCGTGCAAAGATGCGTTTTTTGCAGAGTTCCCCGCAGTT